CAATATTTTTTTTTTTTTTTTGGACAAAGTGTGTTTATAACACAGAGGTAAAGGTGAATTGTTTACTTCAACCTTCGCTTTCAAACTTAGCTCCCGTGAAGGCCCCAGAGGAGCATCACAACCAGTCCTTGTGACCAGGACGGTGTTTCAAGGGAGAATAAAGCACAAACAACTCTCCTGCGCTGGGCTGGGTTGCAGCTCCCCAGAGCGGTTGCGCTTGGTGGGTGAAAACAAACAGGAGGCATTTGCCAGGCTGCTGTGTCCTGCAGTCAGCACACGAGAGAACAGACAGCAGACAAACCAGGAAGCCCTGGCTGGCATTATAAAAACTCTTTTAGGTTAAAAAAAAGCCATTTAAAAGGAATTGTGGTGATTAATTACACCTGAGTGTGTTGAGGATGCTTTTTCTGGCTGTGTCTTCACCTTTCTCCAAGCCTCCCTGTGTGTGCAGATCTAGATGCAGGGCTCAGCTTTGAACTGCTGTGGTCCTTAGATAATTAAAGGCCTGGGATTTTTGACAAAGGGGCTGCAATTTGTCACTGCCCCAGTGTTGGGTCTGGTACCTATAAATGATAAATTATGGTCCCCTAATCCCGGTGCTGTATATCTGTTAGATGAGGTGGGCTCCCAGGGGGTTTTTTGGGCTCTCCTGGATGCAAGGCTGGATGTGAGTGGTGGGGCTGGTTCTGGGGAGATGGAGACAGTACCTCTCCGTTCCCCCTCCATAACCACCTCCTTCCCCAGAGGAGCTGAAGCGGTATAATTTGTACCTGGTGACCAATTGGAACAGGCTGATGCAATGTAGGACTAATATACAGGAGGTTTCTGGGGGCTTTCCACTGTCTTTAAGCTTCGCACATAAGAGGAGAATTGGGAGTGGGTGTGTTTTGCTGCAGATAAATAGCTTTAGAGAGTGATTGCTTGTCCGAGTGCTAGCTTAACTGCCCTCATTTTTCTTTTCTTCTCTTGCTGCTAGTGCCTCAGGAAGCATGGAGCACCAAGCGTCCATCGCGTCTGACTGGGTGCTCCTCGGGCTGATCGCGTTGCTGGTTGCACTGCTGCTGCTGACCGTCTTCGGTTTTGTTGTCTACTCGGGGCTCTTCACAGAGGTGGTTGTGAGTGCTGGCTCCCCTCCCGTCGGCAACATCACGCTGGCCTACAAGTTCAGGGTGGGCCCCTATGGCGAGTCCGGGCAGCTCTTCACAGATGCCTGCAGCATCTCTTCGAAGCTCTACTCCATTGGTGTCTACTACGACAACCCTCACACGGTAAGCTGTGCCTGGTGGGGCCAGCGAGCTCTTGTGGCCAGCACCTGGATTCCTGGCTCGGATGCTCCCTGAGTGTATTTCAGGCACTTGCAGCTCATCCTCTGTAGATGAGCACGGGAGTTCACAAGGTCTCCCAGATCTGCAGAGGATGCTCTGTGGGGAAAGGCACCTGAAAGCAGATGGTTTCTTGGTTAACCCTAACTGGAAGGCATCGGACCAGCAAAGCTTGCTATCTGCGAAGCTTGCTATCTTCTGATAGCTCATGCTGAACAAGGTATCAGCAGGATGACAGATCTGGTTATGGAGCAGAGGCCTATGTCCATGACCCCAAGGTGAAGCGTTCCCTGGCAGATCCCCCGGCTGCGGGAAGTGCAGGCTCCTAGACTTGCAGCTCTGTGGTCGAAAGCAGATGGTCTCTTCAGCTTGCTGTGTCCTTGTCCATACTCCTCTTCTTTCTAGTGCTCTCTTCTATTTCTGAGCTTCCCTGTAATCCTTACATCTCCTGAGAGTTCTTAATGAAACCTCGGGTGGTGCGTGCTGAGGACTCCTATCTGATGAAACAGTTACTCCATGATGCTGTTCAGGCTGAGGGGTGAGCAGAAAGTGCCCTGCCTGATGGCTGCCAGCCACAGCTAAGTACTGCGGTGGGTACAGTCCAGGACAGGGAGCAGACAAAAGTGCATCAGACCTTGCTGGGGGTGAGGAGCCTGGCTGCTGATGCTCGGTGGCACTGGGGTCTCCAGATAACAGCATGTGGGCATTTGTGGCAGACAGCCTGGCTCCCCAGTAATTCTACAGTAGCTGGTGTGACCGTGGAGGAATGCTGTGCGGGGAGGGACGGCGCAGTGGCTAGCAGCCCTGTGCATGTGCTTGGGCACGTGTGCCAGGGGCTGGCGTGGGGCACAGTGCCTGGGCTGATGGCTCTGGCCCAGTGCTTCTGCTCTGGGGGTGACTGGCCCTGCTTTGGGCACCCTCATGGGCCGTGTACCACCTGACACTGTTTCATTGCTTGCAACACGGTGCTCCCAAGGGTTGGATCTGCTTAGAGGGAAGTTGTGCATGAGAATGTGGTGCTGAGTGGCTTCTTGGAGCGCTGTGGCAGGAAGATATTGGAGGTGAAAAAACACTGAGCTGACTGTGCTCAGTGGAGCCTGATGCCCTCAACCACCCTGTGTCTTTGTATCCTGTGATCAACTGACTTACCTTCCAGTTTTTGCTTCTGGACCATGGGAGGCAGAGAAGAGATGCCCTGCAGTGCCTCTTCCTGGCTTGGGAAGGAGCATGGCAAAGAGGACATCCCCCCCTGGCATGAGCTGGGCAGAGGCAGGGTTCGACGAGCGCTTGGACACTTTTATCTGCAAGAAGTGTCGTGTTTGGAGTGGGTGAGGGTTGGGAGTCATGGGGAGTGCCTGGTGTGCTAGGGCTCACGTGGTCAGAGTGGTCAATTCCCCTGCCACTAATTTGTGTCCTTGTGTCGAGGTCCTCTTCTGGGGTCGAGAACCCCGGTGCCGCTGCTTCTTCCTCTGGTGTCTCTGGGGGTGGAGTGGGGCAGTCGATGCTGTTGGGAGAGCTCAGCAGCTGTGCTTGGTGCTGCCCTGCTCCAGGGATGTGGTGTGGACGTGCTTGTGGTTGCTCTGCAGACCTTTTCAGCTTGGCGCTGTGCCTTGCCTCTGTTTGCCAAGCATGGGCTAGTAAAAGCGTATACTGCTGTGGTCTGCAGGTACTGGTAGGGATTTTTGTGGTGACTCATGCCATGGCTGGCCCAGGGAGTGCTTTCCCTGGCAGCACCAGGCAGAGCTGGGAAGGACTGGCTCCTACATGACCCTGGAAAGTTGTCTCCATGTGGGATGAAGCTGCCTCCTCTTTCTGGTCCTGTCTCTTTTCTCCTCTTCCTGCATCTGTTGCTTCTCTGCCCTTACTCTGCAGCTGGGGCAGGCAGTGGGGCTGCAGACCTCATCTCTGGGTCTCTGATGGCCATCCAGGGTTTTGGAAGCCAGCTGTTTCTCCTGTTGCAGTTGGGTCTCTTGGGAAGGGAAGACCTCTGCCAGCATGGCTGAATGGCACCTGGAGGCCAAGGAGGTCTGTCTTGGTGTTGGTGTCATTTTGGGGGGAGATTTCTCTGGATTCAGGTATCTGGAGGCAACTCCTGGTCTGCTGTGGTCAGGGCTCACTGGGACCTCTGCCTGGTGGCCCAGCTGGTGCCCAGTCTGGACTGGAGCACGCTACTGGATCTGGAGGCATTCTTTCCCCCTCTGAGGGTTCTGTACGTGCTTGCCCGCAGACTGGCCGCTGATCTGGCGTGGGGTGCGAGCGCTTTCTGGCTGGCTTCTCATTCCTGCAGGTCCAGCGGAGTGGGATTGATCACCCAGGCTGCCTTTCCCTGGGAGGAAGAGCTGACCTCCTCCTCTTCTTCCTCATTCTCCGTGCTCTCCTGACCTTGGTGAAACACCCTCTGGCAGAGCCTGGTCCGTTCAGAGCTGGCCACCCCCCACAGATGTTGACTTGTCACCAAAAATAGACCTTTTGTCATCAGGCAGCAGAACGTGCTTGCTGCCTGCTGTGTCCCCATGGTGTCCCTGGCTGGGCCCCGATGGCTTCTGGCTGGGCACCCACCTCGAGCCCAGCTCTCAGCCACCAGCTCCCCCCCCTCGAGCCCGGCTCTCAGCCACCAGCTCCTGAGGGCTTTGGTGCCCCCAGTGCTGCAGCAGGAAGGGGCTGATGACTGGCACGTGTTGGTGCAGTGTTTGCTGTGCTCATGGCCAAAGGAGACCCTTGCGAGGAGAGAGGACGGAGATGCCAGAGCTGGAGAGCAGCGGCCATGTGCCAGCTCTCAGCCAGGAGCGGAGCCGGGGGGAGCCCCGTGGCCTGGGGGGTGTGGGCCATACCAGGGCTTGGGCCGGCCGGCAGTCCCCGGGCTCCCTGCTGGCTCCTAGCTCTCTGCCGTTCACACAAGGATGCTCCTCGAGTGCTGCCGAACCCCTGCCAGCGATGTTTTATGTGTTTTAATGGACAAGATTAATATTAATTTGCGCTTTTTTTTCTTTTTCCTTTTTATTTAATATTTAGCAGCCCAGAGGACTTCTCCCACCTCTAGCAGGAACAAAAATAACTCCTCAGCAAGGACGGGTTGTGGTGGCTGGGTTTGTGCTCAGCTCCAGCCAAGCGCTTCTGCTCACATTTAGCTGCAGGCACATGCTCGGGCCTTTTGGCTGTGGTTCACGTGTTCGCGTGCTCAGTGACCAGCCTGTGCCCAAGCGTTGGATGGATGCTCACTGAATGCAGGAATAGGGTTTGCTCCCATTGGCAAAGCTGCCGAATAGGTTAATTAATAATTTCCAAAACTTCTCTGTCAGGGCATTTGGGGGAGCAGAGCTTTTGATCAGCACCTGCCCACCCCAAAAGGACAAACTTGTTAGGGAAAGCCCGGTTTTAACTGGAGTATTCCCTTCCTTCCCTTTAGATGGGCTTTGCCAAGCAGAAGAGGAGGCAAATCTGCCTTGCTGCTGCCCTTGAGAGAGCACCCATGGGGCTGTGTGCTATGAAAAAGAACCTTAAAAGGAGAAGGGAGGAAGCAGACAGGCCTGGCCCGGGGGGTGCTGTGTGCTCTGGCAGCTGGGGTCCTTCCCCCGGTTGCTTGGGGTGAACTGTCTTTGCTCAGGACGTAAATGGAGATGGCGTGTTTAAAGGAATTTTACCTAGATTTCCCTTATCTCCTCGCTTCATCTGGGCCATTCCCCATGGATGTCTTTAACTGCTGCCTCTTGCTGTCTTTGGGGTGGATCTGCTTCTTCCCTGCCCCAAAGCAGCGATGCTTGGCGCAGCAATGCTCGGCGCAGCCCTGTCTGCAGCTCCCTCCCACAGCACAGGAGGGCAAGAGCGAGCTGTCTGGCGACAGTCCCCAGCCTGGTGGCTGCTGCTGCTGATCTGTCTTCTTCCTTCCTATTTACATCTGCTTGTGTTTCCCCTCTGGGATGGTCCTGCTGCGCAATGGTGAAGGGTGTTTAAGGGAAAGGGAGGACAAGGAACGCCATGTGGGGTAGTTATGCAGCAGGAGGAGATGTTGTTGAGCTTTAGCACAGGCAAAGTTAGGGATGGGATTGGGGAGAGCAGAGTGGAGATCCCCTTGGGGATGGGAAGTGGTAACGCGCTGGTCTTGTGTGTGCCCTCTCTCTGCCTCCCATCACCCTCACGAGAGGTTTGCGACGCCCATGCCCGCAGGGTGCCCGTCTGCCTGGCTGTCGCTGTTGGGAGTCCTGGCAGGTCCTGGTGAGTTTTGCCGCCTTGTGCAGTGGGAGTTTGGAGACTTTGGATCTCCAGCCCTCACCAGAAGAGGCTGGCAGAGGGTGACCTGACTCGTGCATCTGCCACTCCTTGTTGCAGGCTGCCATGTCGTCTCATTATCCAGCAGGCTTGAGAGCAGGTGACAGGGAACTGCGAACACTTGGATGGTGCCCCTGTTCTTGGTGCCTCGTGTAACCCCTATTCTTCCTGGGCTCCTTTTTTAGGACAGTGTGCACTGGGGGAAGGAGCCTTGTCTCTGCCTGCCAGCTGCTTCTTCAAGCGTCTCTTTGGGGGCAGAAAGGACAGCAGCTCTGCTAGGGACAAAGGCTGGAGTGAAAGGAGGGAGCTGGGCTCCCATGTCGGCAGTAGGAAGGCACATCGTGCCCTTAGGTGGTACCGGGGGGAGCTGCTGGGCTCTCCTGCCTCCTGCCATTTTCCTCCCTAGTGCCATGGAAAAACGTGAACTCGAGTGGTGGGATTTTGTTAAAAATCAGAAATGAAAGCTGCGGCCTGGGTCAGCTTTGGCATGGAGATGGCCGGAGTCTCGTGGGCTGTCGCTGTGCCGGGAGCAGAGCCTTGAGGCTGGGAGGAACACGGACAGTTGGGGCATTGAACAGTCTTGGTTAGAAGCGGGCGCCTGGTTTGGTGTGCCCAAGCATGCTGGGCCATTGTATTTACCCTGGCTGATGCTGGTCTCCTGCCTCCACACTCAGGAGGTGGAGGTTTGGGCCGGTCTTCAGCCTCTCTCTTATGATGCCATCTATCTGTCCCACCTTGACCAGGTGTCTCCGGAGAAGTGCCGCTTCGCCATAGGCCGAATCCTGAGCGAGGGAGATGCAAAGCCATCGGAAGAAAAGAGCAGATCAAGTGGTTCCAGAAGTACGGCTTCAAGATCTTCTCCTTCCCTGCTCCCAGCCATGTGGTCATGGCGACCTTCCCGTTCACCACGCCGCTGTCCATCCATCTAGCAGTCAACCGTGTCCACCCAGCCCTTGATACCTACATCAAGGTAGGCAAGTGTGTCATGA